GGGGGCAGCGGCACCGCCTGCGTGTGCCTGGGCCGCCGGTGTCTGTCCTAACCAGGAGCGCGTTGCCTTTATTTATTTTCCTGTTGAGGAAATTTCAAGTAAACACCCTGAGTCCTCCAGCAGCCTGGAAATACGCGGTTCCCTCCAGGCGGGGCTGGTACCACAGACGTTCTTAACCGAGGAGTGTGGTGGCACCGAAATGACGTTACACGTTTCCAGCAACGTCAGAACGTAAACGCCTGGAGAAGCGAGGGGTTTCATGCTGGTTCTTGCAGCTTGGGGTGGGGGGTAGTAAAAATGCGCTGGATGGGAAAGTGCCAGCCCTGCAGTGGGCTGCATGTAATTTTCTTCCATTTTTCTTTTTTTTTGACCACAGAAACTCCCCCAAGAAACTTCCAGGGACTCTTCTCCCCATTAAACGTCTACACAGGCCCTGGCAGGTTCACAACTCAAGCATGATGCAACCAGGTACTAAGTATAAATTAGCAAAGAAAGGAATTAGATGCCTTGGCCCCTTAGGCTTCTTGTCTTACTGTGCCTTTCATCATGTGTCAGAATGGTTTCATGGCATCATCATCCATAATTAAAGGCTGATTTTGAAATCCAAAGAAGTCAAATTTTCATAATTAAAAAGGTGTTGAGACAAAAGTTATGCTGTCAGTTGGCTTTTTAAACAGTGATACAGACATTGGATAGGATTCCCAGGGCACTAAAGAGTATCTCGTTAAAGTTTCCAACACCAGTGTGTGAGAATATACAGCACCTCCAACACCACTTCATAGTGGAATTCGACATCTCACCTTACAAAAAGAATGAATTTTTTTTTTTTTCTTCTCTGGAAAGAGTCTTCTAGTTCAAGATTCAGATGTAGTAAGTGTCATTTTCAAATACCTCTGCTCATGTCTTGACCTGCAAGTGATTCTTGCTTTTAGTATTAATTCATTTTCTAAATGCATAAGTTTTTGCAAAGGTTGGGGTTTTTTTGGACAAAAACAGTCTGAGAAGTCAGCTCTCTTCCCATTTTTCTGCCTTCCCCCCTTTTTAATGGCACAGCAAAAATAGGAGAAAAGTAAGGAAAAACCAAATTTTTTCTATTGTGGAAAATTGCTTAACATTTTTACTTCAGGTCCTCCCAAGAACTGGAAATTTTTTTTTTTTTTGGTGATATTTTGAAAATGCTTGTGAGTTTTAAAAGTATTTAATCCTTTGACCACACATAGTTTTAGTTTAGTTTAGGAGATAAAAACTTTAAAAACATGATGGTAGGATGTATTTTCAGCTCCAGAGGTTTGATGGACTAGTTTGAGCTAAACTTTCACTGTCAGTTTACAGTGTAGGGTAAGTGTTGATTTGACTGCTTATAAATGTAAGCGCTTGCAAGAATGGAGGCATCTGGCCCGAGATTCTGCGTACACCTTTGAAAGCAAGGGTTTTGCCCACAGTTAATAGTTTTATTGAAGGTGCTATGTTGCTCACTTGAATAAAAATCTCTGAGTAAGTCTTGGTTTATCTAAGATAACTAGCTGCCAATCATAGGAAAGGAACGTCAAAAAGCCCTGTTCTGGCAAACTTTTCTAGGGTTTAATGCATACATAAGATTCTATCTAGAATCAAACCACTCTGTCATAAAGATACAGTGAATGAGAGCAACAACCAAGGGAGGGGGAAGCAGGGAAGCTGACTCGCAAAATGACAATCCTGTGCAGAGAACTGGGGGATGCATTGGACTACGTGTACTTAATGCTAATTGCCTGTGATCCTAGAAGGTAGTAAAGTCTTGTGGAAGGATACATGGAAGTCTGTTAGCTATGTGAGTGATGAGTGATTGCGTAAAATGTTATGAAAAATGGAGATTAGGATAATTGTGAGAAGGAACTGATAAAAATTAAGAAATGGTGGTGTACTGAGAAGGAGGGAGAGAGAAATGCTGTAATAAAGGAATCAGAGAGTGAGAAGGCAGAGGAGGACAGAAAAAATTGCAACTACTAGATGAAATTACGCACTGCTTATAACAGACCTGTCCATCTGTGAGTAGTTGGATGTGGATCCATTTGGAACCATGGACCCATTAGGATCCATCCTCCAAGTGTGTTATAGCCGTGACTGGTGTGACAAGCGTGAAGGTGGCACGCAGCTCCCTGAGGTCTTGCCTGCTACTCGCGCAGCAGGGATTCAGGGGAGAAATTTCCTGCTCTACACCAGCTCCACGCAAGATGGCAGTACTGCACTGGCAGCCAGCGACAGGTATTTCATTAGCCTTTATCGGAGAAAATTGTGATTGATGGATCTCTCCCTGGTAAATTTAAGAGAATGTGGTTTTCCTTCAAAGCGAGTTACCGAAGATACCATCCAATCCCACCCACAGAGCCCCTCGCAGACAGGCAAACCATTTTGGTCTGTCCAGATTTCTTCTTTTCTTGAGCAGAAAGATACTTCAGAGTGCGGTAAACCTCTGTATTTTAGCTCTGGTAAACCTCTGTATTGCAGGGGTCTGATTTTTGTGGATTTAACATGATGGGGCAGCAGATTTAAAAAATGTAAGAACAGAGAATAGGAGGGGAAACTGTGGCTGATTGCTAGGGAAGTGGGGCTAGTGTCTGAAGAAAGGATCGGGGATTTAAGAAGTAGAAGAGAGAATGGAGGCTAGTTTCACAGGGTGCAAAGAGCCACTGTGGTTTATGCACGTGGAGGGGAGGCAGGTTTGAGCTACACCAGACTGCAGACGCTGGGGAGGAACCCATCTGCAACACAGGCCTCAGCTCTTGCCTCTCCTTGCTGGTATCTGCTTGCTGCTCCAGGCACGAGCTGAACGGTCTGCTTTCACTGATACTGTGAATATTCGTGGCACCACATCAGGAGGGTCATTGCCTGTCCTGTTCTGGTTCCCACGCCCCCAGCCACATTGCTGCTCTTCATTTGAGTGACTGTCACAGGAAATCAGAAACACAATCAAATCCAGAATCTATGTCCTGCTTGGCTGTTTGATACATGTCTTACCCCTCCATCAGTGTCTTGCTACTACTGTGTTCCAAATGCATAATGAAGAACAAGAGCTGTGTTAAGTGGTGCTGCCAAGTCTACTTTGGTACAATGCCTTATTCACAATGTGCTGGCATGTTACTGGCTGGGAAACGTTGTCCTGTGGAGTACAGCAGTGTAAAAGCTGTAGCTTAGGCACAGGCTCTTGTTCCAGCACTCCAGGCTATGGCCTGTTGACCACCAATCTGTGAGGTCATGATATGGAGTCCACAGAAAAAAGATCAGACAACAGCACATATTGCATGGTTGGATTGTTTGGCATTTCTGAAGGCAGGCAGTATTCCGTTAGTGCAGAAAGCTGTAGGGATTGCTGCTGCTGCTGCAGAAGACCCATGTGCAGTCATCAAGACATTTTGTAGTAATGCAAAACTGGCAGCCATTAGTCAGGTAGTCATGTCTCCTTTGTTCTTGTCATCTTTTTAAAAATATTTAAATTATAAGATGTATTTTCTCCACAAATAGTTAGTCCAAAAATAATTAAATCTTAGAAATTTTGGTTGTGGTACTTCACTGAAAAAATTAAGTAATCTAAAAATGGAAATAACTGCAACTTGTGCCAATGCAGATGGTGACTGAGTAAGTTAAATGTGATTTTTACATGACAAGAAAGAAGAAGGAACATAGAAGGACAACCAGAAGAAATGTTTGAAAGAAAGCAAGCCTTCTTTCTCTTATCTTTGTATGTAGTGCACTGGGATGAGTCAGTCTGAGTTTTACCATAATGGTTTGGGTGTAAAACAATTCATTATCCACTTCAGTTTCATAATCCAGATTTAGAAGGAAGCAAATCATTCTAGAGATAGCCTGTAGAATTAATAGTTGGAAAGGAGGTTACATCTGTGTCAGTCTGCCTGATCGATTCCATTGAACTGGAAGGATTATCTACAAAATTAAATTCCAAAATCTATCAACATTTTCCAAAATGAAACAGCAAATGCTTATTTAATACCTTATAACTTTAAAGCTGCTGGATCAAAATAGCAAAATAGTTTGAAAGAGATAAAAATCAATGCCCTAAGTTAATAGTCTTTAGCAAATCAATTTCCTTGTTTCACCGTAGCATATTTATCTGAGTACAATAGAAGTGGACTGACTGTGAACATGAATGACTGTAAGACTTTTTTAATCCCATGATAACTTGTGACAATTGCTTATTTTTATTTTGGGAATGAGCGTTCAGCAAAAAATCCAAATTTCTATCTTACGTTAATGACAAAAGATGATTAAATCCTTGAAGATTTTGGGGGTTTGTTTTCTTCTTACTATTCGACATTTGAAAAAAGGAAGTGTGTGAGTATATACAGATATGCGAGCTTTGAAAATCCAAGCATGTATACAGAGCACATGTAAACCTTTAGCTTTGACACAGCATTTTTTGTTTGCAGTAAGGGAAGTCCCGATGTTATCTAATCCTCTTAGTTAACTAAAGCATTTATGAGTTTAGTAAAGTTGATTTTAAACTAGAAACTTCTTCTTCATTCTGGGAATGTTTTTGTAGTCATTTGTTGTTCTTACTGGAAAGGCTTCTCAGACTGGCTTTGTG